CCCAGAGTGAAAACTCAGTTTGGTATTTTTCCCCCTTTGACCAATTCTTTGGCACAGGGTTCAGGATATCATCCATCTCCAGTGCTTAATATTTTTATGCCTTCTTAAATTTGCTCTCAAGGACGAATTCATTCAAAGCCATTTTTACTTCATTTCATATTCTATTAGCAACACATTTCATCTCCACGTCCTTAAAACGCTCTGTGTCAGTCCAATTCTCCGGACAGGCAAGTAGTTTTGACAAATCATGGGGGGAAGTACTCAAACACAAATCTCACATATAATACAAATTTAACAGTATACCAGAGAAAATGACATCCATCCATCCATCCATCTTCTTCCGCTTATCCGGGGTCGGGTCGTGGGGGCAGCAGCTTCAGAAGGGAGGCCCAGACTTCCCTCTCCCCAGCCACTTCTTCCAGCACCTCCGGGGGATCCCAAGGCGTTCCCAGGCCAGCCGAGAGACATAGTCCATCCAGCGTGTCCTGGGTCTTCCCCGAGGCCTCCTCCCGGTGGGACGTGCCCGGAACACCTCACCAGGGAGGCGTCCAGGAGGCATCCTTACCAGATGCCCGAGCCTCAATTGGCTCCTCTCGACGTGGAGGAGCAGCGGCTCTACTCTGAGTCCCTCCTGGATGACCGAGCTTCTCTCTCTAAGGGAGAGCCCAGCCACCCTGCGGAGGAAACCCATTTCGGCCGCTTGTATCCGTGATCTCGTTCTTTCGGTCATGACCCAAAGCTCATGACCATAGATGAGGGTGGGAACGTAGATCGACCGGTAGATCGAGAGCTTCACTTTTTGACTCAGCTCTCTCGTCACCATGATGGACCGGTACAACGCCGGCTTTACGGCAGACGCTGCCCCAATCCGCCTGTCGATCTCCCGCTCCCTTCTTCCCTCATTCGTGAACAAGATCCCCAGATACTTAAACTCCTCCACTTGAGGCAGGACAACCCCCCTGACCCGGAGAAGGCACTCTACCCTTTTCCGGCTGAAGACCATGGCCTCGCATTTGGAGGCACTGAGCCTCATCCCGGCCGCTTCACAACATCCCAACAAAAGATAATTAAAAATTGGCGCAGAGCAAAGTTAATAGGTCACTTAAACTCATGAGCTAAAATGAACTAAGAAGCTAAAGCTTGCTAACCTTAAGTTACCCTTTAGATTAGGACTAGCATCTTAACTTTAACAGAGGGGAAAAAAACATATAAACACTAAAAATAGGTAAAAAGGTAAAACAAGCGATGATACTGAAACTGAATGATTGTTCGAAGGAGGGTTGGAATTAGGGGCGGGATTAAGGTCTTAATTAGTTTTAATATGAGTAAAACAATTTTTTATGAAATCTGTAAAAGGTATGAAAAATTTTAAATAAGCAGAAGTCCTTGAAGGATATGACTCAATGTTTAACTTTTACCAGCGTCTCTAACTGGAAGTGCAGAAAATGTTTTGCAGATTTTTCATATATGTCATCAATTAAGACATATTTTTTTAATCACCGTGATAAGAAATCATTAGAGAGTTGGACTTTTGACAGTAAATTCTCTTCTATAATTGCAAGTATCCACATATGATTAAGATCCATATCTTCTTTTGACATTTAAATTGCTTCCCTGGCTTTGGTCATTAATGCACACTTATACTTACTTTTAATTAAAACGGATTGTGTCATTTAGTTAAATGGCTCTCGGTCTGGCTTGGGTTGCATCTGATTTTAGCCGTTAAGTTATTAGAGTCCTCATCACCTAGAAGGTCTCTGCACATATACAAACTCTTGCACCTGGCAAACTGATGCAGAGGAAATCCTCTCCTTTATGAATCAAATTTTTAAGTTCTTACACTCATGGAGTGCTGCTTCCTTGGGGCTAAAAGAGAAGAGCCATCTGGCTTGTTATTCGTGCAAAATCTGAAATACAGCATCTGTTTTGGTGTGAGGCTACATTAGCGCACATGACGTGGGGAGAAAAAACATATGTTAATGCAAAAACAAACAAATTGATGTAAATTATGTTGTCATCCACAATGTTGTAGTGTAAAAGGCCAGGTGGGCTTCATAAACGGCTTTCCATCCATAATTTGTGGTCAGCTTTGTGTTTTCTCTTTGGTGTCAGAGAATCAGAGTGAGGTATGTCAGTTTATTGAACAACACCAGTGAACCTGTGTGTTTCTACTGTAAGAATAACGTCGTGTTACAAGAAAGATCAAAGAGTGGAAAAACTTTCTCTGTAAAAACACCAGCAGTTTGTCTCACTGGTTCCCAACAAAACTGCAAACAACTTGATGCTTTGCCTGCATTAATGGTGCTAAATTCAGACTAAATACCAAGACAAAGAGCTATTTATGGAGCAACATTGGGGTCATAAAGTTTGTTCAAAAGAAACTGAAAATAATTCATTGATTTTTTTTCTATTTCAAATCTTTTTGTGTTTCCCATCTTTTTTTCACTTTCAAACCTTCTTTAAACACATTTTTCAGTTTCAACTCTTTCTTTTTGAGAAAAAAAACAATGAAAACTTGAAAAAAGCATGCTAGCAATAAAAAGACGCCATAAGATTAACCATTTTAATTACAATTGACATAAAAAATCTCAAATATTTACTCCTTTTGCCAAATGGTTTGATGTTTTGAGAAATATATCAAGCTGAAGAGTTAAGTATGGAGCTAAACTGGGGCCATAAATTTTGTTCAAAAGAAAAAAATAGTTAAAACTGCAAAAAATTATTTTATTTTGTTTTTCATTTTGCAAACTTTTTTTCTTGTTTTTTTATTTTTTTAAAGTCTTTAGTGAAAAACCAAATCCTTTTGCCATGACATTTTAATTACAACTGACATAAAAAAAACTGAACCCATATTTAAATCTGCCAAAAATATGAATAATTTAGGTATTTATTATAGCGGCTTTCAGGAAAATATTCTTGCATAGTTGTATTTTTTTTTAGAAGCCAAATTTTGTATGTTTAAAAATGATAACCATACAAATGATGACTTACCTTTCATATATTCCACATAAATCTTCATAAAGTCTTGTGAATGGCCATTCATTCTCTCAACCAGGTAGAAACGGTCATCTGCTGCTAGTTAACACCACCACGGATGTAATTTCATAAAAAGGAACTTTCTGCTCCGAGGTTTGAGTCTTAGGAAGGCGTTAGATGATAATTATCAGCTGCTGCCAAGCCGTAGAGCCTGCTGCTTCCTCTCAGGTGGATTATATAGTTTGGATTTATCTTTTCCAGTTCATGGTGTCGTAGATAACATTTCCCCTGAGGCGGATGCTGCTGCTTTGCTGAGGCCACATAGAGCCCAGTGATGATGGTTCAAAGATAATTGATACAGTGTGCGCCAACGTTGCTTTATCTCGATTCGACCAACTACATCATCTGTGTTAACCTTATCTTTTCAGTGAGAAGTTGCTATCTGATTTCTTTATTGCTTCTGATATGGTATATTAAACCAAAATAAATGTGAGTTGACAAATCGTGCTAGCAGACCAGCAGCTGGTTGGCAGCGACGGAGTTCGAAATGATCACCACACGAACCTTTCTGTCCGTATTTTAGGAGCAGATGGAGGAAGCAGATGATCTGATGAGCAGCTCTCCTGTCATGTGACTGTTTTTAAAAAACGCTTGCAAAAGGAGTAGCCGTTTGTTTGGTAGAGGTTTTGGATAAAGTGGAATCTGCACTCTAAAAATGGAGATGTTTTTAGGTAACATGAAAAATAAAGAAGTGATTAGAAATGGTTCCAACCTGGAGTGCTGTAGCAAATTTCCGGCTTCCATAAAAAGAATGAAGCGGTTGTGAGTCAGCTGCAGAGATGTTGGGTAAAGTTGGGTAGAGGAACATTTTGTTTGAAGCGAAGGCCAGCAGGAGGGGGAGGAGTAGGAGGAGGAACACGGGAATCAAAACGGGTTGTTTTCCTTTTTTTCCTGCCAATCAGAAAAACCTTCCAGGAGATAAAACAATACACATCAAGGTTTCCCTTCTCTCCCCACAAAGTCTGCAGGTCTGAAAGTTTGACCTTTTTTCTGCCGTCTTACTCTTTGTTCATTTCAGACTTTCACTAATAAACCTCTTATCTGTCCTGCAAATTACCGTGCTGACTTCAAAGTCCCAGGAACGTCGCAAATCGTGCTTTTGTTGTCTTCCAAGAGACGTCGGATGAAGATCATATCTCGGTTGCTTTGTTTACAGGAGTGTCTTGATGAATCTTAAATCAGTTTGTTTTCATTTTTAGTTAAACATCTTCTTCCTGGGGTCTATCTGTGCGAGTATTGTGGGCTGTTTGGACTCGGGTCAACGGGGAGCCTAAACGTCATGCATTATGCATGAGGTCGGCTCACAGGCAGACAACAGCGCTGTCTGTGCTGCCGCGGCTCAGCCACACTGATTTGCAGAGATCATAGGCACAAGCGGAGGATAAGACAGATACAGGAGGAGGGAGGCGGACGGAGACAGGGGAAACACGAGAAGATAAAAGGCACACATCGGGAAATATCTGAAGCACAGGTTCATTCAACTTGTAAGAAAGAAGAAACCCTTTTTTCGCTCTACAAAGCTGGCACCCCATGAATATCTCTAATTCTGTCTTTTAATAACTTTTTGAGTTACCTGCTTTTTGTTAAGATTTCAAAACTAAAAATACATTTTACTGTCAGAAACCTGGTCAGGGTGCATATGTGTGCCTTGACTGAGATGCCACAACATAAAAATATTTGTGGAAACAAGAGATTCAATCATTTAAAGTGAATTCTCTTGTGTGTATCATAATTTTTTTTTTTAGATGATTACATTTTCTTTATGCAAATACACAAAATTTTACCAGTTATTTCTGGTCTCGTTTCTAGTGCACTTGAAATTAGACAAAAATAACTTAAAAGTAAATTGTCAATGAAATACAGGAGCTTGTTTTATGTCAATAATAATAATGTTGATGAAAAAGTAGCTACTAGTTCCACTGGCAGATAAATTTACTTTTAACAAGAAATTTCCTCATGTTATAAGTGAAATAATCTGCCAATGGAACTAGAACTGGGTTGCTAGGTGACAGCCTGGGCATGACTGGGGTTGCTAGGTGACAGGCTGGGCTTGGCTGGGGTTGCTAGGTGACGGGCTGGGCTTGGCTGTGATAGGTGACAGGCTGGGCTTGGCTGGGGTTGCTAGGTGACAGGCTGGGCTTGGCTGGGGTTGCTAGGTGAGAGCCTGGGCATGACTGGGGTTGCTAGGTGACAGGCTGGGCTTGGCTGGGGTTGCTAGGTGACAGGCTGGGCTTGGCTGGGGTTGCTAGGCAACGAGAAGTGGAATATTCTACCAATGGAACTCGGAATTTTCCATCAATATTAAGGGATTATTGACTTAAAAAATATTTCTGTCTAATTTTAAGTGTATTGAGATATTTGCAGTAGAAGCCAAACCAAAACTACTTGGTAAGACTTTGTGTTTTTTGAAGTGCTTCTGCTTATTTCCAATTTACTGGCTCAGAAAAAAACTAGTTTTAAATTACTTAAATGATCTTTAAGCCAAATAAATTTTCTCTAATTCAATAAGACCAACACACTTAACACTAAAATTAGTGTTCAAGGTCAGCTTTTCTGAGAACAATGCTCTGCTTTCACTCAAAGGATCTTGGGTCCAATGGAAGATCTGCTCACAAAAGCTAGGAAGAAAAGTTTCAGAAATTAGACAGTACAGAACCACATTCATGAGGTCAGACACTGATGTTGGACAATCTTTCATCCTTGGATTGAATTCAGGACTCTGAATAAGTTATTCCTCAGTAAACTTTCTCATTTTTGTTTTGTGGACGTTTTTGGATGCAGTTTGTCAGTCATGTAGCTCCGTACGCTTTGTGGTTAAGCTAATCTGAAAGTCGTATGAAGTTTAAAGTCTGTGCAGAAAATTGATGACCTTCATGTACCATGATCCTCAGCTTTTTCTGACCCGGCTCTATGATTTTATGTAAATTTGGTGACAGAGTTCCTGTTACTTTTAGTCACATCTCATTATTCTCATAAAATTATGTCTATCATTCTTAGTTGCTGAATTTTTACGATTTAAGTAAAAAAAAAACAAAAAAACAATCATTCAGCATCAAGTTTTACTACGGATACTTCAGGGTCACAAATTGTCAACTGAGCTAAATTTCTATCAAAGCACTTTGCAGTAAAAGTCAAAGAAATCCATTTATGGTGTTGGTCCAATGGGGGAGCAGAACTTTATAACCTTGACACAAACATTAAGCTTCCATCTGGCTTTTTAAAGTACTTTCAGCACCAACTACTGCAGTCTGACAGACCTGCAATAAAATGTACTTTTATTACACTTTTTATAGAAAATGTTCATGATTTTATAGGCAGCCTAGTCTAAAAGTGCAGCTATTTGCTCGGCTAGATGGCGACTCATGGCAAGTTCTCTTTAGTAGCATCGGTGAACTGATACTTAAAGATAGATGGGAAGAGGAAGAGGAGAGAGAAATGATTTTATGAAATTAAAAACCTCAAGAGGAAACGATATTGTTTTCTTTTCCCGTTTTTCACATCACAAACAGAAACTTTAATGTACTTAATGCAATAAATCAACTCAAAGTTGCAATGCGTTTCTGTTTTCAGGTGATTTATTGAGAATGTCTTATTTTGGGGTATTAGAGTAAAGGAGGATTAATGGATTAACTTTTCAGATCTTATTTTCCTTCCACCTCACAAACGACTGTTTTGGTTTTGAAAACAAAAAATTTAATTATGAGAATAAGGTCAAAATTATACAGGAATAAAGTTTAAATAAAATCAGAATAAGGTCAAGATTACAAGAACAAAATCATAATGTTATGATTTATGGTCTTATTTCGACTTTATTCTTGTAAATAACATTGTTCTAATTATTTTTGACTATTTTCATAATATTACCACTTTTGTGTTATCTCAACTTTATTCTCATATTTTGACTATTCATGTGACTTTTTCTTGTATCATTTCCTCTTTATTCTTGTGCAACTTTATTATAATACTACAACCTTATTCTTGTATTACTTTATTTTTGTAATACTGCAACATTCTACTTTATTCTCATTTTTTCACTTTATTGGCCTTTTTTCATTGTTTTGACTATCACTATATTTCAACTATATTCTTGTAAAACTTAATACTACCACTTTATTTTTGACTTATTCTTGTAATAATATTACTATGAATTTGACTAGAAAGTCGTATGAATATACAACTTTGTTTCATAATATTTCGACTTAGACTTTATTCTTCATTTATTATTTTTATTTATTCTTTATTCTCGTACTTTGACTTTATTCTTGTATTATTTCCACTTTATTATTGTACAACTTTGTTTTTGTAACATTCTTATGATAGTTTCTCATAGTTTTAAGAAATTCTTGTAATTTTATGTGTTTTATTCTCTAATCGTTGCACTTATACTCCAATATTTACTGTTGGAAAAGCGGATAAAACCCCATTGTGGTTAAAACCTAAAGGTGTGAATGCTATTGCAATGCATTGTGGGTGGAGAGGAGCAAGCAAAGAGGGAGAGGGCGCTGGACAGATCGGCCATCTGGACCTGTGAGCCGACAGCTTGACATGTTCCAAGAACAGCAAACATGGAGCAAACGATCGGAGCGCGGCTCCCTCCTGCGAGCCGCAACACGGAACACGGGGAGCGTAATTAGAGGGGCCCGCCACGAGTGTCACCGTGAACAGACCGGTCGAACAGAGATCAATGCTCTGCTCTCTCAATTAATGAGGCTAATGCGGATTTGACAGCCTCTTCATGGGAGATCTGCGTGGAAAACCCGAGGAGGGAGGGAGAGAGAGAGACTCATGAAACTCAGAACAGAAACGTGCAAATCTTTGACACACAAAAGGATCAATGGAGGTTTTTAATTTGACCAATTACTATTGCTCACCAGTAAAGTCATCATTTTAATTATAAAACATACTGTTGAAAGTGAACAGAGAGAATACCGCAACAAATCCAGATGGGGAGAAGAAGAAGTAGTAGAGATTTACATTAAAAAAGTATTATTCTTCTCCTTGTGTAGAAAGAGTACAGGTTAAAACAATCCACAACTCAGTGGGTTTCAAATACAATAAAAAACAAAAAAATAAAGAGAAACACAAGCCCACGCAGAACCGTGCACAGCAACATTATGCAGTCTGTTTAAGGGGGGCGAGCAGGGTGATTGTTTCTGAAGAAAGCATGATTTTTTTTAAATTTTTACTCTGGTTTAAGAAAAGTTTTACAATGTAAAGCAGTGCTGAGTTTTCTTTCCGACAAGATCTTCCTGCCGCTGCAAGGTCGTTTATTCACAAAGACGCACGTTGCACACATGATGAGAAGAAAAAAGGGGAGGAGGAAAAGAAAGAAAAAGAAAAGAGAGAAAAGCAGCTTCAGCAGCAAAGCACTGCTGGACCTGAAGGGAGTTGAGGCCTCTTTTAATATTTAATCTGTAAAGAAAACAAATACCAGATTTGTCGTGAAGTATAGGTGCATCTCATTTAAAGTTTATTTATTTCAGTAATGCTGCTTAAGACGTATTTCAAGCTTTTATTTCTGTTGATTTTGATGAATAATTAATTTTCTTACCTAAAATATTCCTTTAAAATCGAAGTTATTAAGATGAGTCACAATTTGTCATTGCTCAAGAAAATGGCCGCTCAGAGTCATATTGGGGGAATGTTTAGTGGAAGGAAAACATGCAGTGGGAAACAAATTGCACAAGCAAAATTGATAACCACTTTCTTGGGAGGACTACAGTTACTTTTTTCATAAATCTAACTTAGAAATGTAGAAGAAAAGTTATATTTTAAATTAAATAAAAATATTTAATTAAATATTTATATTTAAATGCATATGTATTGATATTTTAACAAATAAATCACAAATGAGCAAATAAACTGTAATTCAGTCTTTTGTACTTAAATGCTTTTGGACCTTTTTTCTACTGCAGTTTTTCCTTCCACTAAACTTTACTTTGCTTGGATTCAAGGAGGATGCTCGTCTAATTCCATAGCATTTATATTTCCTTTTAGCTTTCTGGGGAAACTGTTTGTGTTTCGTTTAGATTTGGTGAAAGCTGTAATCATCACAACGAACAGAAATAAACAACTTTCTGAAGGTAATGCTCCAGTTTCACTGAAGTAAATTAACTTTCTGTGTGATACAGAAATGCTCTGAGATGCGCCGGTATGTTAAGGTGAGCCAAAAGTAAAGGAGGATTCATTTGGCTCTTTGGTATCTGTTGCTCAAACACACACATTTTTTTTTCTTAAAAAATAAAAATAAAGAAAAGAAAAACACAACATTAACAACAGCAGAACTTCTGGAAATCACAATTTGTCCTTGATTGGAGCATCTGTCCTCATTTCTGTTTGTTTTTTTGTTTTGTTTTGTTTTTTTGTCTCTCTTATTAAAAGTTATTCTTGAAATTTCATTTTATTTGGAAAGAATTTATAAAACTCTCCGAACAAAACAAAATGCTTCAAAACAACCAAAGCGGATTCCTCTTTTGGTACTTTCTGAGGAACCGTCGCAGCTCATGTTTAGTTTTTCTTTCTTTTTTTAAAAAATGTACTGAAAGATTATATAATGATGCTTCACAGGAGTTGAAAACATGGAAACCCATTTTAAATTACACACCCCTGTGTTGTAGGAACAGCTTGTCCTTTTCGTACGACGCCATGTTGTCCTTGTGGAGACAATAAGCCATCAGGGTCCCTGCAGTGGGCGGCCATCTTTATTGTATCCATCCCTTGGCTCTCATTAGTTCGCACAACAGGAATCCTCAACCATCGGTGCGTGTGTTCGTGAAGTGAGCATCATGAGAAATGCCAAATGACCAAATCATAATAATAATAATAATTAAAAAAAATGTTATAAAACCTTAAGAAAAAAGAGAGAAGCCGCCACGTCATCTCCTCCTTTCCTCCTGGATCGATTGTTGCCTGGAATCCGTTTGCATGGAGGACAATTGAAGCGTCTCCTCCGATCTGAGCGATGAGAGAGGAATCCTGGCGGGCCGGGCTTTCGTTTGTTGCATCATCTCAAACAGTCCTTTCTCTGAGAGTTAATGGATTGTAGGCACATCTCCCAGCCAGGCACCAGGTAGGGGGCGTGGACACGTGTACTCGTTCTGCAGAGAACAGGAAGGAAAGAAAGAAAGAGCAGGACGCCGTTAGCGCCGCGCAGCTGGTGGTTACGACGAGAAATTAATTTTAGTTCCAGGTGATTTGATCGCACCACAGCGGGCCTGTGACAGCGCCAGCAACGCAAATAAGGATAAGCAATTAAGTGGTTGATAAACTCCCATGTGGTTCGACACACAGACAGGATGTAAGAGAAATCTGTAGATTAAATTTCAATTACACGACGTCGAGTCTGTTTAGAACAGCTGGAGTCTGAAACGCCACTGTTTCAGTAAAACCCTGCATCTCCAAACGCACCGCCTGAAGGATTTACTGGTTAGACCAGCACAAAACTCAACGTCATAATCAAGAAGTTGGACATCTATTCATGACTTTACAGGTTTCCAAAGTGAAAATGAAAAAAATTGTTGCTTTATTGTTTATCACTTCCTCAAAACCTCCAACTGTAGTTTGATTAAAGTTTTGGTGCTAATGAGTCAAAAGCAATGTTTCCAACCAATTGTCATGCAAATTTTGAGCAAAATCTTTGAAATGTTGCAGAAAAAATATCAAGTGAGAAAAAGCTAATTAAGGCAGCTGCAGCTGGATCGGAGCGACGCAGCCCGGCAATGCAGAGCGTAACTTTGTCAGATGTTGATGCTTCGTATGGCTGCAGCAAACAAGATGTAGAGTTTGCAAACTAGAATTTCATTTCATTTTTTTTCCATTTTGAAAATCTGAATGTTCTTATAGGGCCAGAATGTATTAACAAAACCAATTAAAGTGTTAAAATAGAATTAACTAGCTGTTTGTTTCAGCATTCAGTAAGTGTTTTTTTTTTTTTTTTCAATCAAAGTCACAGATTTTGTGGCGCTAATTTAGGAATATTTGTAAAGTATTTTTGCAATATTTGCGCTAATGTGTGATGTTAAATGTGACTTTTTAATCTCTGTCCGTCACAGACTGGACGTCAAGTAAAGCTGATTTTGGTCAATTTTGAGAAAGATTTTGCACTAAAAACCAGAATAAAATGTGGGAATCTGTTGATTCTGTGTGAATTTTGAGGATTTGTGAAATTTGGAGTTTAGATGGCAACATAAAAATCTACAGTAGAACATTTCTGACTTTAAGATACACTAAATAATTTAGACGTACGATATGTTAGTTTCTGTGATAAAATGTAAATTTCCTTACAAAATATAATTATTATTGGACATTATTTTCTGATATTTTGTTTGAACAGATGATTCTACCATATCTTAGCTAATTCCTCTAGTTTATTTTTGTTTTAAACAAACTTAGGTTTTTTGATTAAAGTGGTCTGAATATGTATTTGTGTCATTGTCCTTCCACTTCACAGCTATGTGCCATCTGTTTTCTGTTGTCTGTAACATAAAAACCTCATAAAATCCATTAAAACTGCATCGTGAAAATGCATGAAAAGTGCAAGAGGCATAAAAAGTGAAAGTGTCACTGAGAGAAAATACTGTTTTTACTGACAAAGCTTTAAAAATAAGAGCATCTGTCAACATTCCCTCACTCACTCTCAACAATCCCACATTCATGCTGCCTGCTCTGACCTTTTCTCTCTCATTTTTAATAATGTTGCTCTTCTCTACTCTCTCAATTAATTTTTCAGCCATAACAGTTTTATAACGAGACGCGTATTGTCACCGGGCCAGACCTATTGAATGTTTTGGGAAAAAAAAGTAGCAGCTAAAAGCAACAGATATAATGAAACACACTTGGGGAATAATTATTTGATCTGCTACAATTTGGAGAGAGTTTGGGTTTTGTGACAAAATCAGTCAGTCAGCTGCAGATAATCCTGACCTCAACTCATTGCCTACACAAAGCACGCCTGTCTGCAAAATCAATTTTCTCCCATTCCTCCACCGAAGGGAGGACCAAAGGTCAAAATGTGACCTCAGAATATGTCAGGAATGAAACAGTGGACCGGCGCAGGGGGCAATGGGCAAAAAGACGATCAGCAAGTAGCTGGTAAGACAACAATCGGGCTCTGAAGGCGACGACAGATCGAATCTTCACACTGTCAGGCAGCAGGGCAACGAACAGAATAACCAGATCTGGATGGCTTAAATGCTGCAGAGAGCCGTGAGAAAGTCTTCCTTCAACAGATGGGCTGTTGATGCAAAACATCTTTTATACTAAAAGATAATGAGATTTTAATCTACTCTGTTCTGCCTATTTCGACCTTGTCACTTTAAATCTAAATAAGCTGCTGCTGGTCACTCCCCCAGCTGCAAGCGGATGCACAGTTATGCAACTGTGCGTCTTTGCAAAGCAGAAGTGGAGCCTCCTGCACAACAAATTGTTTTTTCCAGCAGCCATTGTACAGCGGTAAAACTGGAGCTCAATTTGGGTTTTCCTGGAGTTACTTGGTGAGGGGCGGAGCCTGCTGATATGTGATGCTACACTTAGGAAGTTTTTGCAACGGGTCATTTTTCCAGACACCAAAAATCATGAGCTCAACGCCAAAAACCAGCTGGTTTGGTTGGGGTTTTCCTTAAGCGCTTTGGCTGTTTTTAGAAGCAATAGAAACGCAAATGGAAGTACAAAAACGTGTAAAACATAAGCATCGCATAATGTATCAGATTTTCAAATAAATTTTATTATAAAACAAAGATAAGTAAAAAGAAATGTGAAATCACATGATTTTTCCTTTGAAAAGATCAATTTTATGTCAACTTTTACCTGTAAACGGTGAAGACGAACGTGAAACTTTATGTTTCTCATTACATCTGACATAAAACAAACAGCTTTTTAAGAAAAGGATGGCTGTAATGTGTTCATGTCTTTGTTACAAAGAAAAACAATAGCATCAGTTTTGTGCTGGAAAACACATAAACTCTTCATTTTTGTGAAAAGCAAACCCTGACCCTGACATCTTAAGAGTTGGCAAATGACAGAAGTGCCAACGATACACAAAAGATTTAACAATTAAAAAACAAAGGAACTTTCCATGTGAATCGATAAGCAGATGTACAGCATCATCTCGATAAGCAGCATACCATGGATTGATTTCAGGAACTAATTTTCCTCCAGAACATAATAAATTCAGGAGAAAGAGTCAATTATGCATCTTGACGGGTGAGCAACCCCGGCACATCTAAATGTCAGGGATTTCCCCACAGGACGAGTCACGCTTGTTAAAATGTTGCTGCAAATTAGTGCAACATTTTGACATTTTCCCCTCATTCAAGAGCTTACGAGCCTCAAACTGTTCTGCACTCCAAAACAGACAGAGCGGCACTCGGCTCACTTTCTGAGTGTTTTTAACCGCACTGTGACACGGCAACAAGTCCTTATTGATTTAGCAACACAAACGCTCAACTTAAGCAGTCTCAAAAGCTTTTCAAATGTGCTCCAAACTGTCCCTGGCTCAGCTTTTTGCTGCTGGAGCCGAGATTGTCGTCAGTGTTGAAGCACATCTCTTCGCCGTGCGGCTCAGGCGAACGCGCCCTGAGCAGATCTTTGATTTAGGCGTTATCAAATGGGCTGAGGAGTCTTCAATCAACCCTTTATCTCCCTCTCAGGTAGAAGTGAGCGAGGAAAACTCTGCGGCACAAATTGTCATACAGAAGACAATTTGTGTGAGAGCGAATCACAGCAAAGTTTCGGGTTGTGCTCTGAGCCGATGCACAAAAACAGACAAGAGCTAAAGAGCACAAATCTGTAAAGGCAGATGTCATAAAAATGAAATCTTGCCATTAGGTAATGTTTTGGAGAAGATTTATTAAAGTTCTACATCTGATTGCTGAAACGTTCATTTCTTTCTTTATCCTGCAACTCCTTGTGTCAGTGGTGCAAGAAAAATATAATTTTTAAAAATATTTTCCATATAATAAACAATTGTGTGCATTTATATTCAACGCCTTTTTTGCTTTGATGCCTCTAAATAATCCAGTCAGCCAGTCCATTGTCCTTAAAAGTCACCTAATTATTCAAAATCTGAATGGTGCTGAGAGCAGCGACTCACTTTCGCTACAATAAGAGCTCCCACTCTTCCGGGGTTTGTTTTTAACAGCTCTGGACTTCTATAGAATACAGATCTTTGCGAAATAGCTTGAGGTCAGTCAGGATGAATAGAAAATGTCTATGAAAAGCAATTTTCTGCTCTTGCAACAGACTCTCAATTTAATTAGCGACTTCGATTGGGCCGTTCCAACACGAGGCACTAATTTGATCTGAGCCATTCCTTTGTGGCTCTGGCTGTGAGTCCAGGCTCCTTGTCCCACTGGAAGGTGAACCTCCACCACTGTTTAAAGTTCTCTAACAGGTTTTCTTTTTCCAAAATTTCCCTGCATTTGGCTCCGTTATCTTTCACTTAATCGAGGAGGCAGCGACCTCCAGCCGCCTGGGCCGGATCCTCCGGGGGGATCCCCAGGCGTTCCCAGGTCAGCCATGTCTGTCCTGGTCTTTCTCTGGGTCTCCTCCCAGTGGGTGGTGTCCAAAAGCCAACCAGAACCCAGAAACTCACTTTGGTCTCTGGATCTTGTTCTTTCAGTCACTACCCGGAGCTTTGGGCCGTAGATGAGGACTTATTCCCTTATTTCTGAACATTACCCCAACGTTCTTAAAGGCATTCTTCATCTGAACAGTCGACATGCAGTCACATGGTTTCTGCACGTGCAAGAATCATTCACCAGTCTTATTAATATGGTAGTTATTTAGTGAAGAATTGTGCATTAGATACTCGTTTCTTGCACCTGCAGAACCATCTAACTTTTGAAACATCATGAATGTGTAATGACAGCACTTGACAAATATGCTATGCAAATAAACTCAAAGTAAATAAACAAACTTCTGACCAATCACACACTTGGACAGTGGCCTGTCCGACCCGGGCCTGGTGCCGAGTTCAGCAGGTGGATGACTCTCTACGGACAAAATGACGCAAAAGTCATCACTAGTCAATAAAAGTTGATTTCGGCATTTTGGATGAAGTTTGTGGATCCCTTTAAACTCCCCGACTCCGAGAAGGCGG